TAATTATATAATTAATAATATATATAATACATATTTTAAAAGAAAATATAATTTATCTTGTAAAAATCKAAACTTTCAGCTGAAGCAGTTCCATCAAACAGCGCCCCCTGTCGGAGGAACTGGGCGGGACAGGCGGTACCTTAGCTAGGTTTTGGAAAACGCTGAGGCTGCATTTGGAGATGGTGATGTTCATGGTGTCTTTGGAGCAGATGTTGATGACGGTCCGAGGTTCAGGCAGGAATATGAAGTCGTCTCCGTGCACGGGACTCTTGTCCACGACTGGGTTGTTCATAATCTGTTGGAAAAACAGCAGACTGGATCAGGCTGGAGTCCTGACTTAGAATCAGCTTCTTTAAGGCAGGTTGATCCAAACCATACCAGATATATCGCTTTACATTTGACTTCACAGGACACAAACTTTCATAAAATAAGATCAACAGTTCTTTAAAAGACTCAGAAGACACGGGSTGCTGTCTCACATAAACTGACTCTCTGAGCACTTTGGGAGGATTTGAGAGAAAACCATCAGTTCAACAGCAGAGACTCACTGAGTGAAAGAACAAAGATAACATTTTAATGTATGAATGATGTGGGAAGAGTGACAATTGTAGAAATAAGCAGTTTTTTTACAATAGTCATGATTTACATTTTGTTTTACTGTCCAAGTAGATCAGGGCTATTCAACWGGCGGCCCACGAGTGACCAAAGTTCGGCCTGCCAACTGGTTCATTCATCTCTTAACTATTTCRCCATTTGTATCATGTTTGCTAYGCAGGATTMTGTGAMCTRTATTTTATCAATGTGGTCAATATTCTCCTCAAAAACCTGTTGTATATCATGTGAGACCTGTATTCTGCCCTCTGGTGGATTAACGATGTACYGCAGGAAGTGGAACTTCTGTTTTTTGCCTTTTCAAAATGTCTGCTGACATGACGTCATCCACATTTTTTTCAGGAAAACTTTTGCTAATTTTAGAGAAGTTATGTTAAGAATAACATCAATATTGTTTGTAATTTTTTAAAATAAATACTTTCTGTGTTGAAACAATGCATAATTACTTAAAAAGCATTTTTTAATAATACAGTTAAACCATGTTAAAATGTGTATCAAACTTGATACTGCAGGTATATAAAGTTCTCCAGTCCTGAATGTCATGTGACAGTTTAGTCATTTTAGTAATTTAATCAACAGTATTCTTGCCACAATACAAACACACACTATTTTGGATGATTGATTAATTATTGAAATGCCATTTGAAAACACTTTTTGTCTATTTTCAAAGTGTTTGCCTTTGAAATTATAATCTCTACGCTGTACTGACTAAATATTTACATGTTAGCTGTCAAAGAAAATTGAGGAAGAAGAGAGAGAATAAAAGAAAGTAAGAAAATGTCATAAATATGATAATAGCTGGTGATTTTTTTATAAAGAGTAAGGTACATCTGTGCCTGAACAAGGACAGAAACTGTATTTGTGCCAACCACCAAGTGAAATAAATGGCTGTAAAAAGTTCATTGTAAAAAAATAAAAAATACCAAAGAAGTAAACTTCCTACAGTGTTCTAAAGTTTTGGGCAAAACTGTTTTTTTTGTTTCTTAATTTAACTTTGTTGTGAGGCTAAACGTTACCAAAACAGCCCAGTGTATCAGATTTGATACAAAAAATATATCATAAACAAAGTGATGCAGCAAAAAAAAAAATTATTTGGATTTTGTTTAAAGGCCCAATAAACATGTCAGTTCTAAAAAAATGTGAATTTTCTGACTGTTTTTTAAAGGGTCAGGCTTTATAGGGTTACCCCAAACCCCCCGTTTTCTACTTTAATCACTCTAAGTTCTTTTAGTTAGACAGACATGTTTGAAAAATCTTGGCAAGAAGCTGGTAAAAAACATTTCTATGAATATCTAAGACAGTTAAAACTACAAACAGTTGAAGATAAAACTATGAAAGTGAAAATAAAACTGGTTTAAAAATTTGGCAGGTCAGAGATGTTTAAATAATATTTGTGGTAAATAAGAGGCAGAATGTGTTATTGTTGTTTATTATCACTACTTTTATAAGGTTATGCATGTTTTATTCATGATTAAATGCAACAAAAATAAACTATTTCAGAGGTAACAGATCTTTGTAATTCTTGGTTTATTTACATAGTAACTTTAATTGCTGGATGTTTGGCCCCTCAGCTGTTGATCAGCAGTAACTGTGGCCCCCCGGAGCAGTTTAGTKGAATAGTCCTGTTGTAGATTATTTTGTTTTATGAATGAAACGAACAAATGAAAATAAAGAAGTTATAAAGCACTGAAGATTTACCTCCAGCTCCAGGTTCCACCTGCGCTGGCCGCCGTCGATTCGTTCAATCAGAGGCTCCCACACTGCGTGGAGCTCGTTAAAGTAGTTCACCTGCAGACGCAGCAGGTGTTTCATTAAACAGGACATATAAAGACAGCTGAGGACAGGAGACATCATGCCATGTTGTCTCTCTGAGCTTTTATTTTGAAAAGCTTCCAGATTCTATCCTGAACAGTTACAGCTGTCTCCAGAAAAACAACAGAAGGTGGTTTGAGGACATGTCAAACAAACAGTGGTGGGCACCAGGCCGCTAAAGCGCAAATCCACTAATTGCTCACCTAAATATCTCGTTTGCGCTTTAGCAGACTTACTAATTTTTATAATTCATAACCAGATTTGTGCTTTCTAGAATTTAAATGCAGTACCGCTAATAACTAATTATCTATGAGTCATCATTATGTTGAACAGCAGAAGGTATGACTGTCAATGAATCACAACATGTGATCTATCCAACAGCACCCCTCCCAGATAAACACTCTTATTGTGAAGGTATACATCCTGCTGACTGTTGCTTTGGGTCACGGTTCTGATTTCCCACAATGCTTTGTGTCTGCTTACGTAGCAGGAAGGCAATAGCAAAAACTGTTAATGTTTTTAATCCACACTAAGGTGGCAGCCTCTCCTTGGGCTGCTACCTTATCGTGGTGGAGGGGTTTGAGTGTCCCAATGATCCTAGGAGCTATGCTG